CTGGAGTAGCAGTGGTTATGGTTGGAGCTTCTGTCATTGTAGTTGGAGCAGCTGTAGTTGTAGTTGGAGCAGCTGTAGTTGTGGTTGGAGCTGCTCTGGATGTGGTTGGAGCTTTTGTGGTTGTTGTTGGAGCAGATGTGGTTGTGGTTGGAGCTGCTGTAGTTGTGGATGGAGCTGCTGTTGTTGTACTTGGAGCTGTTGTGGTTGTGGTTGGAGCTGCTGCGGTTGTGGATGGAGCAGCTGTTGTTGTGGTTGGTGCTGCTGCTGTTGTTGTTGTTGGAGCAGCTGTGGTTGTTGTTGGAGCTGCTGTGGTTGTTGTTGTAGCACTTGTGGTTGTGGTTGGAGTAGCGGTGGTTGAAGTTGGAGCACCTGTAGTTGTGATCTGAGTAGCTGTTGTGGTGGTTGGAGTAACAGTGTTTGTTGTTGGAGCACCTGTAGTTGTGGTTGGAGCAGCTGTGGTTGTGGTTGGAGTTGCTGTGGTTGTTGTTGGAGCAACTGTTGTTGTGGTTGGAGCTGCTGTTGTGGTTGGAGCTGAGGTAGTTGTGGTTGGAACAGCTGTGGTTGTTGTTGGAGTTGCTGTGGTTGTGGTTGATGCAGCTGTTGTTGTGGTTGGATCAGCTGTTGTGGTTGGAGCTGCTGTGGTTGTGGTTGGAGCTGTTGTGGTTGTGGTTGGAGCTGCTGTGGTTGTGGTTGGAGCACTTGTGGTTGTGGTCGGTGCTACTGTGGTTGTTGTTGGACTGGCTGTAGTTGTGGTTGTGGTTGGAGCAACTGTGGTTGTGGTTGGAGGTGCTGTTGTTGTTGTTGGAGGTGCTGTGGATGTGGTTGGAGCACTTGTGGTTGTGGTTGGAGCTGTTGTGGTTGTGGTTGGAGGGGCTGTGGTTGTGGTTGGAGCAGCTGTGGTTGTGGTTGTAGCTGCTGTGGTTGTTGTTGGAGGAGCTGTGGTTGTGGTTGGAGCTGCTGTAGTTGTGGTTGGAGCTGCTGTTGTTGTGCTTGGAGCTGCTGTGGTTGTGGTTGGAGCTGCTGTGGTTGTGGATGGAGCAGCTGTTGTTGTGGTTGGAGGTGCTGTGGTTGTGGTTGGAGCTGCTGTAGTTGTGGTTGGAGCAGCTGTAGTTGTGGTTGGAGTAGCTGTGGTTGGGGTTGGAGCTGCTGTAGTTGTTGTGGGAGCTGCTGTGCTTGTGGTTGGAGCTGCTGTTGTTGTTGTTGGAGCTGCTGTGGTTGTGGTTGGAGCACTTGTGGTTGTGGTTGGAGCTGTTGTATTTGTAGTTGGAGCTGCTGTAGTTGTGGTTGGAGCACTTGTGGTTGTGGTTGGAGCTGTTGTAGTTGTAGTTGGAGCTGCTGTAGTTGTGGTTGGAGCAACTGTGGTTGTGGTTGGAGCTGTTGTAGTTGTAGTTGGAGCTGCTGTAGTT